CAGTCTTCACCACCAGATTCATCCTCTGAAGACATGAACCATTGCGTTACATGACGGCGGAACTTTAAGATCTATGATTAAGGGCAAGACATTTAACGTGAAGAGAGAACCATTACATCAGCAATGCTACTACTCACGTCTTCCGGTTTCCCCAAAGCTGCAGCCAATGTAGTACAGAGTCTTTTCAGCAAGTCTTCTGGAAACTTGCTTGCAGGTAAATTGGTTTCTACATTTATGAACGGCATTATTATTTCAGTTACTGCTGCTGACTAGTGTGAGAGTGACCCGTTGTGGCTTCGTTTCCTTGTGACAAATCGCTTTCTCTGATTGGTTGGAAGACAGAGACGCCTGTTCACCGAGCTCTGTGATTGGTCAGCGTGCCGCATTCCTTTCACGCCTCTTGAGTTTTCGACAATAGTATGAATGAGATTTGAACAGGTTGAATTGTTTATCAAAATTAATGTTACTATAATTAAACATTTTAGAAAATTGTGTTTTTATGCTGCATATTAAATCAATTCCTTTGTTCTTTCTGGTTTGTGTGTGTGAAGTAAAAAATGCTATCAATATTTGTGACAAAAGGAGAGATTGTGTTATCAAGACCTGCTGTGCAAACTTAGTTTGGAAAGAGTGTGATATAACTTATCAGGCTTTTGTTTTGTAACTGTATTAGATACGTGTAAATCATAAACACGACTATATCAAAATGGACCTGTTCCACATGCACATAAAACGGTGTAATGCAACTAAAAGATACACAACAGAGCAGGGTGATGACATATGACATGTGCCATGCTTAAATAACAGTCAAAGAAAAAAGATAAATAGCAGCTTTTTAATTGTATAACCTAGTTTACATGATCAGACATTCAAAAGTACCAATGTGTATTTCATAACTATAAACATAAGTGATTCACATTAACTGCTGGAAATATTGATATTCTGGACCAATATTCAACAACATTAGTGTTTAAATCTTCCATGCTCTCCATCACACCAGAGATGTTACACCTAAAGGGACAAAAGGTCATCAGAAGGTCATTCCACAGATAACAGGTTTTTATTAGTAATAGTACATTAATGCATGTGTATCTCTCATTCTTAAGTATTTCTTACAAAATATTGTGTGGCAATTTCAACTAGGGCTGTGCAATTAATCGCATGCGATTTTCATGCGCATCTCAT